CTCATGAAATTGAATGAAAGAATCAAAGTTACGCATACAAGCAAGCATAGCAGGTGATGTAGAAGATTCAAAAGGCCATTTGATAACATTAAAATCCCCACAAACACACTAAGGCCAATTAAAGGTGCAATATATAGCAGCACGTTTTTCAAAAAATAACAGTCTTTTATTGGGTCTATATACACAATTGTTAAACACCAGTCAAAATTATCCTGAGGTCCATGGAAAATAACTGAGATATGTCTAGGAGTTATAATATGCTGGGATGCCGACAAAATCAGGGGATCCCAAAGAACCCAAATGCCCCCCCCTGAGCCTGTTGCATCCACCCCCAAAAAATCTAAATCTCGATTACCCCAAACCTTCCTAGCAATGCTGAGAGTTGAGGGCATGGTCATTTATAGAGCAGAATGATAGACTAGGATTCCTTTAGCCAGACCAAATAGTTGGGAAAAGGCTTTTGATGATGATGATGATCAAAGAGTTTCTAGAGAGAGAAAGTGAAGAATGCCTTACTTTAGCACCCCGACAAAACCACCACCCTTTTTCGTACAAGGAATGTGGCTCTTCTTCCTCACTCCACAAATAGTGAATGAAATCCACCAGAATCTCTGCAATAGCAACCTCATTGCTTCTACACAGACTTAGAACCCATTTCTATGATGGTCGTTTTATTCAAAAAGCAAGAAGAAACCACCCCAAAGTAAAGAGAGAGCAGAGCATATATTGGGTGCTGGTTTCAAAGAATGTTAAAAGAGATCAACCAACATGAGACATGGGATGGGTGTCAGGTTAGAGAGGCAAATAGAAGCTTCAAGGGGTGTTGCCCCTACTTTAAGACCTGAAGGAAATCCATGGTGCCAATGTGGGCAGTCGCCACATGTCAATCTCTGAAAGGTGGGAAAATTGATGTGATTCTTTTTCACGGAAGAAGGGGGAGAAAGAAGGAGCTCTGAGTCAAGAGTTTGACTCATTAGGTGAGTGATTGGAAGTGGGGAGGGCCATATAGGTGCGTGAAAGAGTCTCTTTGATTCAGCCTTGAAGAAAAGCGTATAGTGCCTTGGGCATTCATCCTAGAAAGGTGCAGGAGAGAGAGAAAGGAAGGGTGCAGAGAGAAAGAGAGACGATGGGTCGAGAGAGAGTGAGTAAAATGATAAAAATATATTTTTCTAAAAGAAAGGGTACACCGTACTATTATGTATTTAAAATACACAGGATCATTCCCCTTATAGAAGTTGTAAATTTTGATGTGTCTTGCCTTTTGAGTAAAATTTGATTTCCAAAACTACAAGAAAAGTAATGTGGATCATTTTAAATTCAGAATTTAAATGATTTTACCTAATATATTAAACTTTTAATTTGAAAACAATAATGCCCAATTATTAGACAAAACAACTAATTATGATCTTCGTTAGATTCAAAGTTTAATTATCATGACATTGCTAATCACAAACAATTATTAAAACTAAAAAAATTTAACGTTTTATAATTTCATTCGTAAGAAGATAGTATAATTACAAATAGTTAATTAAGATCCAAAGTCTAAGATTTTGTGGATTAGAGTACTTTTACTTTTATAATTTGAGTAATTCAATTTGGAATATACTTTTTATATGATTAAATATGAAAGTATGAATTATGTTGTGCTTGAGTAAAAATTCTATTTTCAAAGCCATAATAGAAAATGGTCCATTTTAATTTTAACGAGTAAAACTTATAATGCTCATGTGACCATTTCTAAGTGGTAATATAAAAATAATTAGAAATTAATTCGAAATAACAACACCACTCTATGAAAGTGACCAATTTCAAAAAAAAAAAACCTCTCTATTTCTTCTCTTCTGTCTTTTAATCCAACAAATTGTTATGTGGGTTTGTTAAGGTCCAATGCCAACATTTTGAATCAAGTTGTAGATGTTTTGGTTGGGAAATGGGAGAGATATTGCAAGAATGGTAGATTGGGTTTTAGGGCTAAAAAATGGTGAGATTTTTATGAAAAATCTCTCCCTAATGCAAATTTCAATCAAAAGAATGATTTTTTGGTCTAAGGGGGACTGAATTTTGTCCAAATCAATCAAAATGGGGGTTAATATGGAATATTGGTTGAAAAAAACAAAAAAACTTGAAACAAAAGTTATTTTTACCTTTTTTTCATATAAAAAGAAAAAAGTTTATATAAGGTTGAAACATTAAAATGCAGAAGTAAGGTGCACCTCATAAATCTTTTGGGAAAAGGCTGTTTTGATGATAGAAAAATCTCTAATTGGTCACCCCAACATCAAGATGTATGAATATGAAAACAAAAAAGCTTTTTGTGTCCCAAAAAGAGTGCATCTTGCAATACTTTATCTATAGGGCAAGCTTTCTATGCTTCCCCTACTGCATAAAACTTATATACTTCCCCTTATCCAATCGTCCATTTTGAATAGACGGCTGAGATGACCCCAATCACAATGTCACATCACTACACTATTTTATTTTTATTTTTTTCTACATACTATTTTGACACCAAATTTTGGGCGTTCACTTCTCTCTTAAATTCTCACTTGTAAAAAATATAAAAACAAATATTCCCAATAAAATAAAATGATCAAAATACGCCTAAAAGTTTCAACTGATATTTTGGGCATTATATTTTATTTAAATGTTCTTTTTAATATTTTTTTAAGTTCACCCCATTGAGAAGATGGCACATACCAAATTTCATATTCATACAAATTATAGAAAAATATAAAAATAAAATACTTTGAGGCGTCAAATCGATCAAACGGTCAATGGGTCACTTGATCTAAATTCGACGGCTGGATAGGGGGGAAGTATGTATCTTCTATGCTGTAGGGGAAGCATAGAAACCTTTCCCATATCTGGACCGTCCATTTTCAAGGTTTTCATATGTTTATAGATCTTCTTGATTTAAAGTATTTTTGGAGTTTAAAATTTTATATTTAAAGATAAAATTGGTTTCTCAAGCCATCCTTAAGAATTTTTTACACCAAAATTACATCTATGATAAAATTTGGAGGTGCGCCTTACTTTGATTGTTTAAGGATGCAATCTTATGCAAACCACACCCTATAAAAAATGGTTAGCAAATGACTTGCCTTATGTTATATTTCACCTGTAAAATTTAATATTACATAAATGAATTATTTTAATATCTCACATCAAAACCTTAGCTACATGGCCTCTGAGAGAGGGGTGGTATTCCCATGAGTTTTGGGTTGGTTAACTTTCACTTCTAAAGAGAGAAAATCTCTATGTTGCTCTCAAGGTTATCTTTCCAGTAGCGGTATTGCGGTGGAAAAAAGGATGTTGATCGACGATGTTGCTCGGTCAGGAGAGCGGGTTTAGCATGGAAGATCGGTGATAGTCTCTTACCGATGTTTAGAGATAGATATTATCTCTTGTGACCCAAAATTGTAATCTTCATTGTGATAGTGGATTTCTAGTTGCCAAGGCCGTGGATGTAGCCCTATGGGGTGAACCACATAAATCTTGTGTTGTTGTGGTGTGCTTTTTGTATTTGCTTTATTTCTTGCACTCGATTTATAATTGTATTCATCTACTTCGCATTTAGCCAATTATGTACACGATCTTGGGTGGGATCCCGGTATTGGGATTTCTGGTTCCGCAAACTAGGGGTTCACGAGAGCCCTACACTATTCACACCAAAATGAGCTGGTTATTACTTATTTGGGGCACCTTATATACAAGGAAAACTAATACCATGTTATTTCACTTATTGGGGATATCAAATACAACATAACCTTGGTTTAATAATATTAGAACCTAATAATATTATAGGTTGATAATATTATAGCTTCTAATATTATAGGTTGATAATATGGGAAAACTAATGCCGCGGAACCTAAGCGGATAATGAACCATGCAAGGCCATTTTCCGCTGATAACTGGTTCCAAAGGGAACTCCCCTTGTATATATATATGGAAAAATCTACCATTTGGTGGTTACCTTATGCTGGCATCAACTTCAATTATCCTCTCATCTATCCATTTTGTTCAGGTGGTTGAGAGTTAATTTCATCTTTGAATTTATTTATTTTTTTACTAAGCATTTTTAGCTGAAAATTGGGGGTTGTGTAGTTCTCAATGCGCTGTACTTGTTAAAATGAAACAAAACAATTCCAGAAAAGCCAAATAGCCAAATTACTCCTGAAAATTTGTAAATGGAACCGAACAATCGCTGAGGTATTTTGGTCACTTTATTTTCTGGAATTGTTATTTGTTTCTTTTTAACAAGTGTGTTGAATTGAGAACTACACACACTTCATTTTTCAGCTAAAACTTGTTTGTGAAAAAATAAAATTCAAAATTGGTTAGCTCACATATTCATATGGTCACAGCGTGAGCTTACATATGAACCCAGGTAAAAGCTTTAAACTTTTAGCATTATAAAATTATTCGATTTCATACTTCAGTTTTTTAAAGGATCCTGAGACTCGCTCATCAGTAACTAAAATGAAATCAAATTTTGAACACAAAATGAAACAAATAGAAAGAAAAATTTATCTCATTTAACTTGATGAAAGAATGTTTAAAGGCAAGGGTAATATCAAATTACATGGAAACTTCAAAGTTGTTTTGCTTCTTCATCTGCCAACTGCCTCGCATATTCCCTTCTTGACTGCTGTATGTCAGTATGTCAAATAATTATCGTCAAAGTTTATAGGCCTTCATAGTTTTTATTAGGATATGCCTTGACACTTTAAACATATGGGATGAGCCCTGTAACGTTTCTGACCTAATATTTCCACCTCCTTGTGTATGATTTTGATAACTGATAATTTACTTTATGCTTTATGTTATAAGTTGCAAACTCAAATGTAGGTACCGTGTGCTTGGTAGATTACCTCTTGAGATTAATGTTTTACTTGGTCTTGTGTTGCATGTCAATATTGAATATCCGCTCCTTGTTTCTTGCTCTCACATATTCTTCCCTTGCTTGGCTATGAAGATATGATGTTTTTGTATTTTGATAGTGATGTCAGAAGACATGGTGAAGGATGGATATGAAGACATAGTAAATATTGACATTTCATCAGTTGTCATTGACATGATGATAAAGAAGTACGAGCATGTTCCCCAGCTAAAATGTATCCTTTTGATAGATATCATCTTGTCGTTCATACTATGCCCTTGATTCTTGTGGCTTTCAAATGTGTTGCCTCTTGGCTAAAATGATTCATTTGATAGTATTATTGACAAAGGTATTATGTTCCCCAGCTAAAATGTCTCCTTAACCTCATGGCTAGACATGCAAATGGATGTTAGGGATATGAGTTTTTTCTTCAATGATTCATTTGATAGTATTATTGACAAAGGTAAGCATTATCTGCTTTTACTTCTTGTGATATTATTGTATGCTATTTGATGGGGACAATTCTAATGTAATTTAGACTGAATTTAGACTGACCAATGGTAGCTGGCAGTTTCTAACTAATTCATGCGATTTATCTCTTGCAGGCACTCTGGATTCACTAATGGTAAGATTTGTCATGGAATTGATTTATTAATTTCTCCAATTTATTTGCCATACAATACTAACTTTAACTACTGTTGTTTTGGTTTTAGTGTGGCACCAATGCTCCAATAAGTGCTGCCCAGATGTTGGGGGAAGTGAGCAGGTTTAGGCTTCATCATCTCAGGAGTTACATCAGCATTGTAAACACTGAATATAAATAATTGGCTCTATTGCAATATGTTCCTTCTTTTGGCTCAATTTTAGGGTTTTTAATCTTGGTTGCACTGATGACTGATACCTCTCATTTCATACTGCAGGCTTCTTAAACCTGGAGGAATATATATGTTGGTATAGTCCAATGCTAAAGTTGTTCATTTAAGAGCATGCTCAATATTCTTGATGAATATTTTATTTACTTATTTTCACTACAGATTACCTATGGTGATCCATCCGTGAGGATGCCTCACTTGAACCAATCAAAGTATGGCTGGAAGATTACATTATATATAATACGTGAGTTCTTTCTACACTCAATTTATTCTTGGCTATGTTCATGCGGTTTAGTGTTTAATGTGCAGCTTTTGTGCAAATGATTTATCTTGAGAACGTTACCTTGCAGAGTGTTTTTTATTTTTTACTTTCACAATCAGTAATTACTTCATGTAGAAATTTCTGTAATTTTTCTCATGTATCAGGTGTTGATGTTAGTTTGCCTTTTTTAGATGATTGACTTTAGGGGACAGATTTCGGTCACTCACTTTCTTTAGTGATCTACACGATTTTTTTTTATTTTTCCAACCCAAACATGCGTGGTAAGATGGTCTCATTGTCAATTTGGCCACCTACAATCTTCAGTGGATTATTAAATAGTTGAGTGGAATCTGGCTCGCATTTTTTTGATAATCACAGTAGAATCCTCTTCAACTCCCATGCACGTTCCAACTTACCGGCCTCCTCGCAATCTAACTTCCACTGCTCACTGAACTTTCTAATAGACATAGGAAGCCCATCCTAAAACACTCATCCCCACACCAAAGATCTTTCTCAAATTGCAATTTAATCCACTTCTCTACCCTAAAGCAAAAATCCTTCGCTCTTGCTGCGTCATTGTCTCTCTTAGATGTATTTATTATACACCAACATCAAAGAAGTATGATGAATTGATGATATATATGATAGGTAGCATGCTCTCCCATGACCTTCTTAGAGGTAGGCATTTCTCTTATGGAGTACCGGTGGTCCAATACCTATTATTGATACAAAGCCGATTGGTGGACAATTCCCAGAAATTCGTGCCAGCTAGGATTGGCAATGGGGGCAGTGACTTGACCCAGCCTGGCCTGGTCAAATTCAAAGAAGAGCAAGGCCGGGCCTTCCTAACAGGCTCGGCCGAGGCTGGACCCAAGCTTAATGCTAACTGACTAGAAATATGTACCAATCAGTGTTTGCAAAATCGAACTAGAATGGTTAACCAAACATGGGCCTTGAAGCAATTTAAACAGCCTAATCGGTAAACCGGCCGATTCAACCGCTCTAACTGGGCAAGTCCCGGGCAGTCAAAAAAGTGTTGAAAAAAATGAAAAAGATACAAAAAAAAAGCTACTAAAATATGAAAAGCATATAAAGAATGATTAAAATAAAACACATTCAAATGAAATTGAAAATTAATGAAAAAAATGAATTTAAACAGATCGAGTTGTGCCTAGGGGTATTTTTAAAATTTTCTAAAAAAGATGGGAAAATATAAAAGTGAGTATTAATAACCAAAACAATTTTTAATCTTTACCATAATGTAAAGAATATTAAAAAATGGATTACAAATCAAATTCCTTATTTTTCGGAATTTATATACATTTTTTTGAATTTTTTTTTTAAATACTAGTTGATCACCAAAACCGCCCAAAACTGAATCATCCACTAACCGGGCTGTTAGCGGTTAGATCTCCCGGTTTCGCAAACACTGGTACCAATAAAAATAGAAAGGCACGCCATTAGCTAAGACAAACACGTAGCAATCAGGATATATTATGGTCTCCTAGTTATAAAAGTGAAAACCAGTATCTGGTAATTATGTAGACTTTTTGAAATGTTTGAGTGATATACACCTCTTTATGGAAGTTAATTGTAGGTGGCATTTTGCATATTTACCATCCAATCTTGTGTCAATAATCCCTTATACTGTTTGTAAGAATGTACCATTATAGGCATACAAATTTCCTTGAAATGTATACCATCTTTAATATAAACCCTACACTATCTACCATTATTCTACTAATCATACCTAAAATTTTGTCACCCTTGGGTACGCTGTAGGTATACGGCAACCATATCTGGGGTTAAATCTATGGGGGCGAATGTCCCAATGGAGCTCACTACATGCAACTCACACCCTTGCTGTTGGGAAGAACTTGGTGGATGTCCCTTATATATGTGCCTTATAGAATAATAACATACACCCCTCGCGTGTAATATACTACCGAAAATACTCAAAGTTTTGAATTGGTTTGAATATGTTAGAAGGTTTCGCAAGGCTCTGGACCAGGCTTTGCCCAGGCCTAGCCCAGCCATGGAGCTGGGTTCAAGGGCCCTGGCCTGGCTCAATGGCAAGTTGTTGCCTTGCTGAACTAGGGACTATTTTATGTTGCTTGGGTGAGCCGTGATGCAGGACCCAGGCCCAGGCAATGGGCCGTTAAAAGTTGGATTTACTAGTTTAACTACTAGAAGGAGCAGGTTCCAACTCTTAGGTATTTCAATTCAGTGGATTTACTAGTTTAAATTAGAAGAGATTGAAATTGTTTTACCATAAAATACCGTAGGGAGCATTGCTGGGACTTTGCTCCCTATTGCTGCTCTGGTAATCTTTTTAGTTTTGGCTGCTAAACCATAAGAAGTAAGTTATTTATACAGATCTCTATAGGTCAACGAAAAATTAGCTAAATGAAAATTGGGACCCATGTGGCATCCTGATTGTGGTCCCATAACCTGCAAACAAGTGTAATAAATTAGAGCAGTTAAAGTTTTCGTGGGGATACTATGTATTTATTGCTTAAAACTGATAAAATCCAGAAAGGTCATCTCCACGATGTGATCTATATATCATTTCCTTTGGAATTTGACCTACTGGCAGTTAGTACATAAGCTGTAAGCTGCAATTTGAAGTGATTATCCATGCTTGCTTTTCATTAGATATATTTCTTTACTGAAAACATTTTAATATTTGTGTTAGGGCTTAGGCATTCACATGGCTCCATTAATGTGTCCAGGTGATTTAATATCTGATGGATTTGTAGCAAAAGCTTATGACTGATAATCTAGGCCATAGTTTTAGTGGAAATACTACCGAGTTTTTTATAGACCATAGGGCCAAGCTGTTTCCTACATTTAAATCACGAACTTTGAATGCTTGAGTCTTTTCTCGAAACAGAGAGAGAGTTTCAAAAATATCGAGATCAATAGGGATACCAGTGCCACTTAGATGAAAGGTCATAAAATGATGTCCACATTCAACAACACTTTCAATGTTCAGCATATTAATGCAACATTAATCAAAAGTCCTGCAGATAACGAATACTAAAATTGATCCTCTAAGCATAAATTGGACTTTGATCAGATATGGGTCTAAGAAAGAACATGTCGCCTGAAATTTTATACACGCGTGTTGATAAGGAAACTCATAAACATTCCAAGAGGCAAACTTTTGAAATATCAACACATTACATCTTCTATTTCAAACTTCATTAACCTTTTTCCATGAGCTAAAGCAGGCCAAAGTGTTTCAATATGCAGGTTTAGATACCTGTGCTGACTGATATTCAAATATTCTGGAAAATTGGATACTTCTGAAAGTCATTTCGTGATAACTCTCTGTATTTAATAGGTTAACATTATCAAAAAAAAAATATAACTCTCTGTATTTAATGCTTTGATTTCTCTCACGTAAGCTTCATTAGTCTGGTATTTTGCTTTATCGAACAAAATCCATTCCTTTGTTGAACAATTGTCATGTACATATTTCACATGCATGAATGAAATTCCTTCTTCTTCTTTTTTCCTTCTAGTTAGGTCAGCCTAGGAGCATAGGACACAGTGTTACAATCATCAACACTGTAACCGATCCTACTAGTGCCCAATTCCACCAAGAAAAAGAAAAAAAAGAGTGGACAGGTCTGCTTGGTTTATTTTGAGCAAAAATTTCAACGGTCGTGCCCCTGACCTCCTGCTTACAAACCTTAGGTGTACACCACTAGGCTAGAGCCTTAGGGACAACATGGATGAAATTCTTGTGCATGTCAAGATTTAGGCCTAGTTTGGACATACTGCCTATTCTTGAGCAAGTGGTTTCCATGACTAGTTTTAATTGGGTTAAAGGGAAACAGGTTTTGTTTAGTGACTTCGGGAGACTTTTGCAGTGTTTTACAATGGATGGGGAGAGATGTGACTTACTCATGAGTAGGCTGGAGCAGACCAAATATTTAGTTAAATTCATTGATAGTTTATTTATTAAGGAAACGGCGCTTACTCATAAATAGCAGTCTGTCCAGACTGGTTTTACATGCCAAATTGCAATTGAATAATACATGGCAAACTACATACTTCCACATGGTCCTACTTGCATTGCTGATTTCAGATATGTACAAGTATTTTAGACTTGAAACCAAGAAACTAGGGAATTCATTGAATCAGAGTTTTCACATAAAAGATTTTGTTTACCAGGAATGCTTCCATACTATGTAAAATTATGAGAAATTTTTTGACAAGCCATATGGCACTTTTTTTTTGACAAGCCATATGGCACTTACACAAGCAATGCCAGTCCAAAAGATATAACACCCTTATAACTAATAACTAATAATGACTTAACACTGAAAGTGACATGTCCAAGGCGACTGTTACCCACAAAAAATCGTTACATATGCAAGGCAAATTGCTGTAGAACTGCTCCTAGACGTGCATGGACCAATCATGCACTCTATATGGGTGAGAAATGATGAAAGATTATTAAACAAGATAAATTTATGAAACCACACCCAAGAGATTCGCTCTTTAACGTTTCATGCATTCCTCTTATCATGCTTTCAAATAGCCCATCAAACGTGCACATCACAATGGCTCATAAATTAGAGTGGTAAATTCGAATTTTGCCCCCTCCATCATAACCGTCGTGGGTTTTAGGAAAAACTACTTTGGCTTTTTTGAAGTGGTTTTGTTACCCTTTAATTTATAGGATGCATTTGTTTTATGTAGATAAAATTTCCGATGAATAATTTTGGTAATGCCAACCCCACCTTAAAACTCTCTTTCTCTGTCTCCCTCCCTTGGTGTGTGCTGGGCAATCGACGGAAACAAGACTGCCCCATGTGCAGCCATCAACTTTTGCCTCCATCTTTCAAGACTAACCAGTTTCCGGCCTCCTATAGATGGGTCTAACCTTCTCATTCTCAGGGAATTCACTGAGAATCCCCAAAGCCCAGTCACACACTCTCTCTGTCTAATACTCTACATTAAAATCCCAAACTTCTCTCTCTCCCCTCCCCACCCCCCCTACGCCAAACCCCATTACACTTGCCCATAAAAAAACTATGAACTAACCCTACATTCCTCCCCATTCAAGCCTTTTCTTGTAAGTTCATCCCCACCTTCCAAACCTGAATTTATGGCTGCCTAGCGGATTCAGGCTAGGGTATGAAGACCTCCTATCTACCCCACATGGCCCACTGTTTTGAACAATTAGAGGCCGAAATGAACAATGACCAATCCATTTAGCCTTGGAAACTCTCTAGTATGAACCTTCTTACCTTGCCTCTTGGGTTGAGTCCATCCTCTTCGAGTTAAACCTCACAGAAATTTTGGCCACCTCTGGTTTTCCCCGTGAATTTCAGTTGTCAGAAAATGGGTTTTTTGCTTAAAATTGGAACCATGGGTCATTTTCCCATGGTTTCTCCCAAAAGGCTGTGTGTTTTGATCATAATTTTCCCATGGTTATTTTGGGAATAAATTATTTTCTATTGGGTTCTTTTGTTTGCGTGGTCAAACTACTGCAGCACGCACAGCCAATTTATATATGTTCTTTTTTATAGGAAAACCAAAGTATTTTTCCTAAAAACTAAAAGGTGTGGTTTCTATATGGTTGCAACCTTACACAATCCAATTAAGGCACACCTCCAAATTTTATCATAATATGTAATTTGCTGTAAAAAATTCTTTGGATTATTTGAAAATTTATTTTCATAGCTAATTATAAAATTTTAAACTCTAAAAATAGTTAGAATCAAGTAGATCTATAAACATATGAAAATCTTGAAAATGGACGGTCTAGATAATGGGTTGTAAGGTGCACGATTTACGAGACTCAAAATCGTTTTTTTTTCATGTTCATATAACTTGATGTCGAGATGATCAATTAGAGGGTTTTTACATTAAAACAACATTTTCCGATGAATTTTTGACGTTGCAACCTTATATAAACTTTTTCCAAAATTAAAACCCACAGGTTTTAGTGGTGGGGTTAAATTAGAAATTTCCCCTCTATCAAATCTCAGGCCCTTGTAATGATTGATTTGATGGGCTTTTTTGAAAGCAAGACAAAGGGAATTGGTGAAATGTTATATAATAAATCACTTGGGTGTGGGTTGATAAATTTCCCATAAAAAAAGAAAAAGATAGAGACAAGATAAGGGAATCTCTAGGAATGCCATTCACAAACAAGAGAAGTTCAGTAGAAGTGGACCAAGTGTTTGCATCTTTTCTTATAAAACCAGGGTAATTTCATCATGGGTAGCTGGTATTTTGGATAAAGAAAAGTATACAAAGAGACCATTTACTTTTAGCACAAGGTCACAATTAGTATCGTCTTTCTGATTTCAAATCGAGTGGTTGTGAGCATGCCAATGCCTACACTCAAATTTAAAAAAAATAAAAATAAAAATTCTCGAACTCCGTGACCGACCCCAAACCATCTAATTTAACATCTAATGGCTAGGAATAATTCTAACCTCTTTGTAAGAAAGATAAATGGTCTCATAGTATACAATCCCTTTGGATAATTGGCATATGCCTTTTTGTTTAGGGGTTTTGTTTAGCTATTTATGTTTGAATTTCTAAGTTTGTGAACTCTAAAATAAGCAAAACATTCTTATCTATCAGTACACTTGTGTATTTTACTAGAGACACCTTTGTTCATTGGGCAGGGTGCAATTGAACTTTTTAAGTTTTGATCGAGGGACAATAGCATTGATACTATGGGAGTACAATAACAAAAAGTTAAACAAGGAGTCATGAGAACTATGCAAAGAGACGAAAGCACTTATTTTTTGTGATGTTTATAGCGCACAGCCCCATAAATGCCTTGGTTGTCATGCGTGCGTTTCTATTGGTTTAGTACTGAATCATCAAAACTAGAAAAAAGGGTAAAACTTTGTAAAAAATAGTGTACCTAGTAAAGAAGCTAGGTTGTGTTAGGTAAGCAACCAACGTAAAACTTTATCAAAACTTATCATAAATATTGAACCTATATTATTTGCTTATGCTAGGGTATTCCCCAGAAGCGACACGTTGTACCATTACCTGGGTACAATGAGCGCCGCCCTGTTGCAGTGAAAAAAGACAAAGGTTCCCCCGACACTCTAGACGAGCGTGGGTAAAGAAGCTAGTTAAGAGAATATAATTTATCTAGCCACATGGAAAGTAAGAATGTTGTCATGTAAGAGTACAGACTTAGTAAATACAATGAGACAAAGGAGAGAAAACACAGTCTGTCTACAAGAAACTAAATGGCAAGGAGAAAAAGCTAAAGAAATAGATGGGTATAAACTTTGGTATATAAGAAATAATAATAATATAAATGATATATAGGCATAATAGCAGACAAATATTTAAAAGATAAAGTAGTTAATGTCAAGAAAATAGGTGATAGTCTCTTGTTAATTAAACTTGTATTAGAGGAGGAGATATTTAACTTGATCAGTGCTTATGCACCATAAATAGGATTAGAGGATAGAATTAAGAGACAATTTTGGGAGGACATAGCTAGAATAGTCCAATACATACCAAATGGAGAGGACTTTTTTAGGAGGGAACTTAAATGGTCATGTAGGGAAGGATATGAAGGGGTACATAGGGGATATGGGCTTGGTGAAAGAAATAAGATGGGTGAGGCTATTTTAGATTTTGTTATGGCCTATGACCTAGCAATAGAAAATACTTACTTTAAAAAGCGCGATGAACATTTAATAAGCTATAAAAGTAGATCACATAAAAGCCAGATAGACTTCTTCCTAATTAAGAAGGTTGATCGACCATCATGTAAAGACGGCAAGGTAATCCCAGGAGAGAGTTTGAATGCCCAACATCTGCATAAAGACATGGAATTTAAGGGGTGAAATTAATAGGTGTCCAAGAACTAGGTGGTGGAATTTAAAAAATGAGAAAATAGACTTATTTAGGAATAATTTAGTTAAAGAAAAAAAATCGAGCTCTGAACATGAGGTCATTGTTATGTAGAATGAGATAACTAATTGTATTAAGCAAGTGGCAAAAGAAGCTTTAGGAGAATCTAGAGGAAAAAGAAATTTCGATAAAGAAACTTGGTGGTGGAGTGATGAGGTTCAAAAGGATATTAGCGAAAAACGATCATGTTATAAAACTTGGCAGGGTAATAGAAATGATCAAAACTTAGGAGAATATAAAAAATGCTAAACAAATAGTAAGGTTAAACTTTAGGCATATAGTAATCTATATAGTAAATTGGGAACCAAAAAAGGAGAAAAAGATATTTTCAAATTAGCAAAAATGAGGGAAAAAAAGTGTAGGGATCCAGACCATATTAAATGCACTAAGAGTAAGGATCAAAGGGTCTTGGTGAAGGATGAAGAGGTCAATGAACGATGGAGAGTTTATTTTAAAAAAATTATTAAATGGCGAACACAATAGGAACATAGTGGTAGAAGGAACCATTGGCATAAATTAGGTGGAGGTCATAGATACATTCTTAGCATTAGAATATCGAAAATGAAAGAAGCTTTGAAACAGATGAAGATAGGAAAGGCTTTATGACTAGATGGTATTCCGGTAGAAGTTTGGAAGTGCATGGGGGAGATTGATATTGACTGACTGACCAAACTGTTCAAAAAGGTGTCGAGAACAAAGCAAATGGCAGATGAATGGAGGAAAAGTATTGTGGTACCAATTTACAAGAATAAAAGAGACATACAAAATTGTGTGCACAATCGAGGGATCAAACTTATGAGCCACACTATGAAGCTCTGGGAGAGAGTGATTGACCAACGACTAAGGCATGAAACAAGTGTATCAGAAAACCAATTTGGTTTTATGTCAGGGAGGTCAACAATTTCCTACTTGAGCAACTGATTGAAAAGTTTAGGGCGAAGGGAAAAGACCTCCACGTGGTCTTTATTGATATAGAGAAAGATTATGATAGACTACCTCAAGATTTGATTTGGTGGGTGTTGAGAAGAAAGGAGTCTCCAAATACTACATCGACTTGGTGAGAGATATGTACGATGGAGTGCTAATTAGTGTACGAACAACTAGTGGAGAGACGAGTGAGTTTTCAGGGCCAATAGGTCTGCATCAGGGGTCAGCATTGAGCTTATACTTCTTTGTCCTAGTTATGGACAACTTAAGTAGGCACCTACAAAATGAGGTACATTGGTGCATATTGTTTGCAAATGATGTAATTATGACCGATGAGACCCGAAACGGTGTCAACATAAATTAGAACTTTGGAGGGGTGCTCTAAAATCTAAAGGTTTTAAAATTAGCTGGACTAAGACAGAATATATGGAGTACAAGTTTAGTAATAATAGGAGTAGAGACGAGGAAGTAGTTAAGATTGACGGCCAGAAAATACCAAAAAGAGCATCTTTTCGGTATCTTGGGTTTATAATCCAAGAAAATGGGAAAGATTGAAGAAGATGTCGCACATAGAATTAGAGCTGGGTGTGCGAAGTGGAGATGTGCAACCAGAATTTTATGTATTTGCCGCATACCAATAAAGTTAAAGGGCAAGTTCTATAGGACAACTGTGAGACTAACTTTGCTATGTAAGACGGATCAAAAAACAATATACCCATAGAATGAGTGTAGCAGAGATGAGGATGTTGCGAAGGATGAGTGGCAAGATAAGAAGGGATAGAATTCTAAATGAATACATTCGAGAAAATTTAGGTGTGGCACCAATAGGCGATAAGATGAAAGAGAGTAGACTTAGGTGGGCTGGCCATGTGTGACACAGACCCAGTACAGCACCTGTAAAGAGGTGCAAGTAAGTTCACGTAGAAGGTTCGAAAAGGACAAGGTATAGGCCCAAAAGGATATTGTTGGAAGTAGTAAGAAAAGATATGAGGACTTCTGGCCTCACTAATGGTATGGCCCTTAATAAAGCATAATGGTGGATCAGGATTCGTGTAGACGACCCCAATTAGTTACGAAAAGGCTTTGATAATGATGAGAGTTCCTCAATTTAGGGGACTAGTGTGACCTTAACAATTGCGACTTTGTTGATCTCAAGTTTAGATTGGTCCATATAAACACTCTATACTTCATCAAAACAATTTGTAAACCTAAATATGCAATAATTTTGCATGGATATTTATTATGTTTAAATATGTAGACACTTACATGGATAGCTGTGTGTGTGTGTGTATGGATAGACTTTAGATATCATAAAATTGCTGAATGTACTTCAATGAGCTCTAGTGGATCAGTCTAGTCCAGTCATTGTTTTTTATTTTTTTGGGTAAATAATCTTAGTCCGGTCTTGCAGCAGTTATTTCACTAATTGCTTCTTATTCTCGTAGAGGCCACAAACAACTCTCGTTTTCTCTTTCTGGTTTGCAAGGCACTGATTTATGCTTGATATCATGACTCATAATCTAAGATCAGAAATCTTGGCATGGTTTCATTTTGTTTCAAGACTGAACTGCATCTGATCTCCTATTTGTCGTCTGAAATCTGTACTGCAGTGACTTTTGGAATACTGATGCATTTCATATCACATTTCGATGTCCACTTTTTTTAGTTCCAAAAGATACCCATCTCCAAGTTCATATTTTGTTGGGCATCATCCTACTTAATTGTCTCATTCACTGTTGGTTTCATATAGTTCTGCCAGGGTTTTAGAAGTCGACCTG